TCATCCCATTGAAATTTTTGAAAATTCTCTGGTAAGATTAGTTCCTCCAAAAAGTGGTCTCTCTACAGCTGCCTGCTCTTTTCCCACTACATATAGGCAAGTTCGGGCATTCCTTTTGTTACAAAAAATAAAATAAAGTAGGCTTTCCCCATCCCACATTCTCTCAGGCTACAGTCTTCAGCCAAGTTATCAGATGTGGCCAGGACATGGCCGCTCCAGGGACTTTCTTCCAGTCACCTTCAGCCTGATGCAGCGTGTCCTTCACTACTGTCCTGGCTGGACCCCCTGTGTGGGGACCTACTCTGACCTCTACCCACAAAGTAGTTAGGAGAAACATGCATAAAATTTCCAGCTTTGCTGCTCAAGAACAGCATTACTTGGGCAGTGACCTTCTGTGTGTTCTGGTTAACGTCTCTGCAAAGTCTTGGGTTAGATGTTATGAACACTGAATGAGGTTATTCCATCATTCTAATGGCAAACCCATATACATATCATATACATATACATACATATACACATGCACATATACATATACACGTATGTATATACAATACATATACTGTACATCTCTATGCTAAATACTCCCATATTTCATCCCAGACTCTTCTGTGGCTGAGAAATGTCTCTGTCTCTCTGTCTCTGTCTCTCCCCATGTCTTCCAACACAGCTTTTCATATTTCCATCCTGAATAAGTTCTATCCTTAGTTTTAAAGGTGTTGTATCCAGTTTCTTAAGCCCCAGACCCCAACCATCATCTTTGAGGGCATTTACATCTTCTTCTACCCTTTCCCAATTCATCACCAGGTACCCCCTGCGATTTCTATTTCCTACACATTACTTTCCTTCCATCTCTACTAGCTTTACACTATGGTCGGAGCTGCTGTAGCTATCAGAGTACTCAATACCTTCCTACTCCCACTGTAGTGGATTGATGGTCGACTTATAACCCCCAGATGAACTGAGTAAGCACGGTGCTGGGTGTGGGAGGCCCACATGGGGACTGTTGCCAGCAGCAGAAGAGGCAGACCTGGAGAAGTGGTGCGGCTGTTGGGGGCAGAGAAAGGCTGTTGGGAGCTGACAGAAGCTGTAAGGAGTGTTGGTTCTTTTGGAGGAGCTTGTCATGCTGGCTTTCCTGATGGACTTGGCTAATAGATCGACACCTGCTGGTCAACCCAGCTGAACTGGTATGCATGGAATTAATCTGGAATAATTTTGAGAGACTGGCCAAAGAGGCAGCCCTTGTGTGCTGCAAACTATATTGGAAACTCTGGCTGGAGCCTGGAAAATCAGAGTACTCATGGAAACGCTACTGATTAAGATGAAGCTCAGGAGGCTTCAATTGAGAAGGACTGCATTGGCTGCGGGATCCCAGGTAACTCTTTGGAGAAGCTGGTCTGCACTTTGCTTGTGTTTAGAGATACTGCCTAGTTGGAGAAACAGAACTTTCCATGTAGTCTGTTGTTGGGATGGTAGCATGGTTACTGTTGAGCGCTTCTGGCCAGATCTATGAAATGAAGAGCAAAGAGCCAGCAGAATGATACGAAACACTTGGCCAGAGGGCTGGCTCTCATCAAGCTTTGGCTTGCAAGGCTGAAATAGAGGACAATGTGACTGTTAAGAATAGGACGACGAAAAAATGAACTGAAGTCTTTCACCTGAAGATAAGAGTGTATCTGATTTGTAGGAGAACTATATTGTTTAGTCTTGCCATGCATTGAAAAATTAATGGGAAGTAACGACTGTGTGCAACAGCTCTTTTAATATGTTTTTATGTTGTGTTTAGATATATGTTTGTAAGCAGGTTAATTAATCAAAGTACTATGTTTTGACCTTGAATTTTGGTCACCCCTTAAATATTTTGTTTTTGGTGCAGGAATGAGTGCAAAAAAAAAAAGGGAATAGTCTATGTATAACTGTTATATTAATGTAAATGTGAATAGACTAAAACTTGTTAACTTTCACAAATCTTCCACTAGAGACTATGGATTAAGGACATGTGTATGGTTATTACACTGTAGTAGATTGTACAGGGATGGACTGTAGTAGATTGACAACTGATGGTCAACTTATAACACCCAGCTGAAATGAGTAAGCATGGTGCTGGGTGTGGGAGGCCCACCTGAGGACTGCTGCCAGCAGCGTAAGAGGCAGAACTGGAGAAGAAGTGAGGCTGTTGGAGCAGAGAAAGTGTTGGGAGCTGGTAGAAGCTGTACAGAGCTGTTGGTTCTGTGGGAGGAGCTTGTCATGCTGGCTTTCCTGATGAAGTTGGCTGTATTCATCCTCTGAGGAGCTCAGGACCTTGTTGGTGTTGAGAATAGCTTCAGTTCACTGTGGGGGAGCTCTGGTCCTCACTTTGAGCATTGCTTCCTGGCTCCAGAGGGGAAGATGGTGCACTGCCAGTCTCCTGGAATGGCTTGTCGCATTGGCTTTCCTGATGGGAACTCACCTGTCTTCACCACTAGAGGAGCTCAAGACCTCACTGTTGCTGAGGATGGCTGTGGTACTTTTCAAGGGAGCTCTGGTTCTTACTTTGTGCATCGCTTCCTGGCTCCAGTGCCATGCCTCAGCCTGCTAGCACAGATCCTTCATCCCACTTGACACAGACTTCCTAGATTCCACCACTAATGTTTGGGCCTTCCCAGTGCAGATCCATGAAACAGGCCTGCATGAGATATTGTTATGGGCTCTAGGCCTCCAGTTGGACTTTGGGAGGCAGTGTTATGAGCTCTAGGTCTTCAGCTGGACTCATGCAGGCCATTTCTGTGGGATACAGGCCTTCAGCTAGATTTCTTGGTCTATAGTGTGTGGACAGATTTCCTGCACTCTCTTGTATATGCTTGTTTGGGTGATTATTATAAATAATCTTATAAAATATGTGTCCTGTATTATATTGTTCTCCTTTGCACAATAACCCCCAAAACTGACACACCCATCTTAGCCCGCTGTAATGCAATCCATTCATTTTCCACCTAGGATGAGCTATTTTTAAAAAACACACATGAGATCAGGTCACTAAAAAAAAAGTAAGTAAAAGTCTTTATATGTTTATAATACATCAATAATTAAACAAATGCCTTATTGTGGTTGACAAGACCTTCTAATTTCTGGGACTTGTACTTCTCCCCTTTGATTTCTGTACTGCAGATTAATGGAGCTTCCATTCAGATACCTCAGGGTATCAAATTCTTACCTTCTCCACAAGGAGCACTTCCTCAGGCCTTTGCACAAAGATATTCCTTCTCTCTGAAAGCTCCTTCCACACATTGCTCTGTTTTTCTCATTAATGAAATCTACTACAATCTACAATTGTATATTTTTGAGTTCTTATTGTTCCATTGTAAGACTCCTTACCCCAGACCCTCAGCTCTGTACATCCAGAATGGTGCTTAGTAATGACTTTTGATTTATATCATTTTAGCTCTTTAGCTCATGTGCTATAAGCTCATGAGCTCTTTAGCTCTTTAGCTCATGTGTTTAGCCTAAAGCACACTGGAGTTGTCCCCCTTTTCAACCATATATTAATTAGTAAAATTTTCTTCTCATTTCTACTAAAGGTGAATTTGGCTGACCTTTATCATCTCCAAAATTAGCAGGAGGAGGAGATGAACTGTACCAGCTAAAGGAGAAAATAAGAACAAAGAATGGTAATGCAACTAGCTGATGTATAATTTGCATAGTTCTAAGAAACTTCTAACTTGCCTAAAGATATGCACAGAACAAGTAGTATGATAGGTTCACAGTAAAATAAAAAGACTTTAACTCTACAGATCTTTGGAACGTGATAGGAAAATAAATACACAAATAGCTAAGTAGCAGAAAGAATATGCAATAAATGGCATAATTAAAGAGGCAATTGGAGGATCCATGCAGAAAGGGTACTTGAGCAGAGACATAGGGCAGCTAGAATTTCAATGGGCAAAAGGCATCATGGGCAATAGGGGGGAGCAAAGTACACTCAGAAGATAAAAGTTTGGCTATAATACTGTATAGTAATAACAGGCAAGTAAAGTAGATCGGGAAGCACACGGTCAAAATGATCACCTTTTAAAATTCCCAAGACTACCATCTAGTTCATGAGACTGTGATCTCCTTGAGGCCAGAGCCGTCCATCTGTAGCTCCTTAGCCCACAGCACCACTTACACAGTATGGGAGTTCACTGTCTCAACAATCCATTGAACAGTGGAAGCTCTGTCCCACTTTTCCAGGCACCATTCCAGCACACGCTGTTTTCCTACAGCAAGCTGTGCTTTTCTGGAATGCACCCTGCCCTGTGCATGCTTAGACAACTTACAAGAAAAAGCAGTAACTGAGTGTATAACCTTCTTTGTATATTTGATCTTTGCTATGTTTGCAATGTTTTATTTTGTTAGTTCCTGAAGAATAAAGACCACATATAGTGAATTCAACATACTGAACTCTACAGATTATGTTTCAGTCAATAAAATAACGTAGCCTCTTCAGATAATTAGTAAGTGCTACTTCATCCATCAAATAAAAAGCACTGCCATAGGACAAGTATTTCCATTTATGCCAGATCAGCCCTACCTCCCCTATAAACAAGATAATCAGATCTGCATTAGACAAGAGCTTCAACATGGGGCTCATGTACTCTCTCAGCCTCTTCCTTCGTGCCCCATGGTCATCGGATGGTGACTGCTGCAGCTTCAAGGGCAATCTGGTAAATTACTATGGAGGCCTTGCAGATCTCTGTCTCTCTGATTCGGGTCCCTTTGCTTATGAAATCCAACATTAAAGCAAAACTTAGACTTACAGAGTGCTCTAGTGTGGATATACGAGAAACAGATATTTTAAACATTATACAAAGTTAAAATAACCACCTGACTTGTGATTAATGGGATTCATGAATGTGTCATAAACTTTATTAAAACAAACCACGCTTCTTTTATTGGGAAATTAGCAGTTTGATGATCAGAGTAGCATTGGGATGCTCGATTTAGGTAACCATGTACCTCGTTTCCCTGACTTAATCTATACATACCCCAGTGAAGATGGGCTTGTTCCAGCTCTCTGTGCTACTGAAATGCAGCTCTAATGACTCTGTCACTCAGTGGCTGAGTGGGCCGGAAATTGTCTCCCAGTATCCCATCACAGCCTTCCACGAGCTCTGCCCCTTTAACATGTGTCCTCAGCCTTCGAAACTCTTCTATCTGAAAATAAAAGCAAACAAAATAGATTAATTATTTACTAGATATTAAAAAGATTAGTTTTATATTATAAGTGACTTACCATATGTGTAGATTACAATGATATAAGAAAATTAAAATTAAGCTTCAAAAAGAGAAAAACAGATTTAATTCTTCCAGACCTAAGTAAGACATCAGACAAGGGCCTTTAAGAGGAGACAAGAGAATTAGAGAACAAGGTATCCTGACCATTTCAAGATCCATAGAAATCTACTAGATTTGCTAATGTGAGAATGATTCATACGTCTCAGCGAAGTTTTTGTGCTCCTCTGTGACACAAAAATAAAAGGTGAATAAATAAATATTCTTAAATGCTTGCCGTGTATATTTTCATTAACATTCTGATAGTGTGATGTGTTAACACTGATTAGATGTCAGCTATATTAGATGAATTCAAGAGTTCCTTCATTAAAAGACTATCATTCATTCAGCCCTTAGAAGAACACAGGTCCAAAGAATACCTCTGACTTTCCAAACACTTAAGCCCTTTCCTCTCTTAGCAATTACAGTTTTCAAGTTTATCCCCCTTTCTTTGGTTGCCTCTCCAGGTCCTGTAGCTTCCCAGCACTATGAAGAGGTTACACGAAGCGGTTTCCAGAGTCCGGACAAACTTTAGCATCAGCTGCACCGAAGTTTCACTGACTTCTCAAAGGAAAATGAGCCTCTTCAGAACCTTTAGACTGCTCAGTACGACTTGAGTATTTAAGCAACAAGCAAAAAAGTCACAAGCATTCTTCAGACTCAGTCCAACTTATTAGTCAATTTACCTACGGGGATCATCAGCTGTTATTTCATTAAAATGCTACACAGTCCCAAGATACAGCCTTTCTTCATTCTCTACATGGAAGCAGGAAACTGAGACCAGGGCGTTGCCAAGAATCTCCAAATTAGCTGGTGGTAGAAGGCTGACAATACCCAGACACGTGCTCATTTTCCAACTCCGCAGCCACTTCTCTAGAAATTCTAGTCAAATCACAGTACAAGCTGTGTCACAGGGTACATGTCAGAGGGTACTGAGCAAAAGTGACTTAAACATCATGATCCATCAAAAGTTCACTGTCCATGTAACCACAGATGAGATCTATGAAGGACCTTAATACAACATCGCCAAAGGGTTCTGCCCTTTACAAAGTACAAAAATAAATACAGTAAGTTAACTAATTCCGGGGTTCTAAGGGAAGTTTAGACTTTAGGGGGCCGTGAAACCCCTACATGGAAAGCAAAGTTGAGCATGTGCATTTTCCGAAGGCAAGCTCCCTGACTCCAAAAGAGTTGAAAACCACAAAATTCTAATTGAATCCACCTACATGATGTCATGACAAAGAGCTGAGGAAAAATTAAATAGTTTGTTAGATTAGAAGCCAGGTTACAAAGTTGACTTCTACTCTTTTATTTTTCTATGTCTGCAAATTGATTGATTTCTCTAAACATAAGTCTGACCCAGCTGGGATTGTCTTGTTTATTTCTTAGTAATTCTAAATGCTGCATTTATATAACACTGCAAATCAGGTACCAATGAACTGTTTAATATACAAATGCCTTTTCAATAGACCTTAGTGGGGACTCTGGGCAACAATCTTGCTTGCAGCAGCTGGTAAATATCTAGAACTGAGGCTTCATGAGAATTCCTTGTTACTGTATGCTTTCACCTTGAAGTTTTCCCTTTGTGTAGGGGCAGAGACCTAGCGTCCTATGCTATTTCAAAAGGAAGATGATGGCGAGAGCATGAACTTGGTATCCATGCCCGTTTTTGTCCTGGATCTGCACTTGAGACCGAAATGACAAAATGAAATCAGTTCTTTAGACCTCAGTTTCCATGTGTGGGAAACAGAGATGCTATTAAAAATATTTACAGGGATGGTGTCAAAAGTGAGAACATTCATGCAAATCATTCAGTACAGTTCCAAGCACATGTGAAGTGTTCAATACATACTAGCCCTCTAATCACACAACTTCTTTTGACAGCAAACCTTTAGCATTTGAGATAAATACTTAGCTGCAGTTGCTAATATACTAATTCAAAGAGAAAGTTTAAAGCCATCTCCCTAGCACTCATCTTACACATAACCACATGTAATACCTGCAGTCAGACTAAGAATCAGAGCAGAGGCAGCGTCGGCGATGAACAGTTGGACAAGAAACCTAACTTTCTTAACATACTTTTAAAACTACTTCATTTTTATTGACTTTGAGGCTTATTTTATTAAAGCTAGGTTAATTTTATATTTATGCATTCTAAACTGAAGGTATATCCTGCAAGCCCCAGGCTTTGGCCTGAAGCACACAAAAAATGAGCTTTGGAAGACAGGATGTGAACAACAGCCAGCCTCAAATCACTGGGCTCACCGAGAGAAAACTATTTTGCAAGAAATGTTTGCCTCTGATCACAGCAGCACTTTGAAGACTTCAAACACCAACAGAGACGGAGGAGAAAATGTATATTACTGAAATGCCAATTTTTCTGAAGTAATCACCCCTCACAACCCCTCAGTCACTTCAAATGGTTTCAAGCGCATACTGAATGAGTCCACCCTGAAACAAGAGACTGATGAATGGACAGGATCACATTCGGGGTGAAAGTCTTCAAAAAATTCAAATTTCAGGACATTATAGAGACCCTCATTACTGCATACATCTTAACATGTGATTTCATAGATTTGTAAGGTTACTCTCCTTAAATAGTATTTGTTTTTAACAATTTAAGAGGAAGTAAGTGAGAGAGACAGACAGAAGTTGGACAGAGCTCCAACACTCCAGGGAACAGTACTCATCTTCTGAAGGTATTCAGCTCAACAGCCAATGTTCTCTAACTCAGAGATTTATCTCAATTGGTCTAAGATATTTATTTATATATTCAACCTTTACTCACTTACAAATCAAGATTGTTCACACTAAAATTCAGTTTTAAAACTGCTCACTTTATGAGTGTGTCCTAAGGGCTAATTTCCAGGGCTTATAATTTGCTGAAAATTAACTTAATAGGAGTCTCCAAGTTCTTGTAACTATCTTCTAATAGAATTACTTGGACTATATATCATATGTCATCTTGTTAGGAGAAATATAAGACAGAAAAATCAGTGTCATCTGTCTGTAGACATTTAGGTGTTTCTATGTGTTAGCTGCAATGAACACAGGAGGGCAGATCTCTCTTCAAAATACTTACTTTAATTCCTATTGCTTTACACTCAGAAATGAAAAATAAGCCAAATGCAGGGTGACCAATACTGTGTGATCTCATTTATATTCTGAAATATTCAAACTCACAGAAGCAGTGGTTGCTAGGAGCTAGGTGGCTGGAAATGCGGAGATAAATGTATGATTTTAGTTTTGTAAAATAAACAAGTTCCTGCAATACACTACACAGCATAGTACCTACAGCTAATGATACTGTATTGAACTTAAAAGTGCTAAGGGGACAGATCTTATGCAAAGTGTTCTTACCAAAATACTGGTGGTAATAATATGAGGAAAACTTTGGAAGGAGACAGACCTATGACCTCAATGGTGGCAATGTTCTCACAGGTACATACTGTACTTGTTACACAAGTTCCACAAGTACATAAAAGCAACATGTTTTAAGAGGAGGTGGCTCCCATGAGGGAAACCCTCCCTTTGAGTTTTCCAGTACAAGAGTTCTGAGTAACGTGGCCAGCACAAACTGAGACCTGCTGAGGTGCAGAGCACACACTGAGATCCAAAGGCTTCAGGAGAACGTAAGAATGTAAATGGCTCATCAATATTCCTTATACTGACTACATGTTAAAATGACACTATTTTGGATAAAATGGGTTAAACACTATTTGAATAAATGTTACCTATTTCTTTTGACTTTTGTATTATGAACTCTAGGAAATTCAACTTCACAGATGCAATTTACATGTTGGCATTGGCCAGGGCTGGTCTAGAGTTACCTCTCCCAGTCATCTTTAAACCTCAACATTATAGGATTACAGCACAGATCTCAATTATGCTGGGGATGAATAAAAGGAGGTGTGAAACAGTAAGAAGTTCTCAAAGTATGCCCCACAATGGAAATGAAGGTTGCCACTCCACACCCACTGGGTCAGTCAGCATCTCCAGTGGGAGAGCCCAGCAATCCAGGCTCTAACATCAGAGCCTCCAGGGGATTCTGATGTACGCGCATTTTTAATCTATGAATATAAATGTTCCATCATGAATTTTACTGTCAACACTGCACGGCCACAGAACTCTACTACTGCTTGAACCCAAGCTTCTGTGCTTTCAGTAAGAAAGAATTATGATCAGAGCATTTTCTTCAATGTCACTAGTGCTGACACTCATTCTATGGCAGATGATGCATTGCAAGGGTCCAACTGCTTCCATAACAATCCAGCAGCACGATTATGTTACTCCTATGATACAGTAGAAAGCATATATTTCTTAAATTCAATCCTAAGTTTCATATTTTCTCAATTTATTCAGCTATGTGGAGACTTCACTTGCCATTCAGCTATTCCCTTATTTATGTATTGATCCCCTTCCCCCTCTTCTTCCTCCTGTAAGTGGGATAACATGAGGCTTCTTGATTTTTCATGATATAGAAAGATTCTAGCATCATATCCTCTCGCTTTGGTTCCTATCACTTTTATCAGTCCCTATCTTTTTACCGCCCTCTCTGGACCTCTTCTATTTTTGCTCAGCTTTCTCTGAAATGATACGAACAGCACCAAATGAAGCATTCAGGTCAAGAGCAGGCTGATTTATACTCTCCTCAGATCATAATTTTTTCTAAATCACTCTAAATTGCATTTTGATATACACAAATGTGTGCTCTTATGTGTGCATGTGTCTACATTTAACACTGCTGCCCTGCCCTATGAAAAGAATGGTGCTGTGTGCTAACGACACCTAAATCACTTTTGAAAGATTACAGCTAATTGGAAAGTCATCCCTTTTCAAGGGCAGTGGAGATTTTTCCTTCTAATACACATTACTTTGGCTTTGGCTTTCCTTAAGGCAGATATTTTTGTCTCCCAACAGTCAAGAAATGTGACTTGTGAGTTAGGGTTAAACTTGAGTACTGGCTCCCAGAACAATACAAAACTAGGTTTCCTTCAAAGCCAGAGACTTGCAAAGGTGTAATGGTTTATCTCTGAATCTTAGCATAACACACCAACTAACATGGTAGTAAAATATTATATCACATCTACAGGACATCACAGAACAGTCTCCACAGACTTCAACATTCATGTTGCCACTACCACGCTGACAAGGAATTCCTCATGGAATTCTAGGTGGGTCAGAGAATTTGTGTGGCTCAATACGTTTACACCTAACCATCTTTCAGTGAATTGAAAAAATCTGTTGTGGTTACAGAGAGAAATTCTATTTTTCACTAAAAGATTTGATCTACTTCTAGAGATGTACCCCTTGATAAAATAATGCTGAGATACATTACCCCTGACACTCAGCTCTTCTATGTTATTTTTGAGTCTAGGACCTATCCTTGTTAAATCCAGTTCATGCTTTTCATTCTTTAACTGAATGTGTGTAAAAATCTGATACAATCCCTTTATTTTCTCCTTCTTAAAACTCGTCTCTCCTTCAGTATCAAGATGCTTCATCCACTTTTTAACTTCCCCACTTCTTGAACCATTACACCCTGGATAGCTGCCACTCCCATTTTCAAGATCACTTCTCCCGCCCTGAAGCATCTCCTCATCTATAGTGCAGCTTCACCCACCACTATATCCTTCTTGGATGTCCACAACCATGAACACGTCTTCTCTGATTCCCTATCATACTGAAGAGTGACACTTAAAATACCCGAGTCAATCTAGGGAGTAACATGGAGGTCTCCCCTCCCTGAAATCCCACCTATGTTAGCAGCTACTAAGTTCTGCTTCTATTTTCTTACTATTTCTAAAGTCACTCTCTTTTCTTCATTTCACTGTCTCAGCCTTAACTCAGACTCATATCTTTATTCTGCTGCTACAGAGAGGTCTTTCAAATTGAAACCTAGTCATGTGTCTCCTCCATGACTCCAATTATTCTTTGCCGTTTTTGGGAGAAAGCCTACCCTCCACAGCACAGCACAGCACCAGGTCCAAAAGTCAGACTCCTGTTCCCTTCTCCAACCTTGTCTCTTGCGATAAGCATTTCACTCTAACTATATGTATTCTTCCTATGTACTCTGCTTTCTCTGGCCTCTGGGACTCCATAGATGCTTTTCTTTGCTGACAACATCACTACTTTCCCAATCAAGGCACACTGGTAATAATTACTAGCTGATCTGCTCATGAAGGTAAAATATATGACCTTTAACTTCTAGAGCATGAAGTTAAAATACAACCGCCAGCTGCCCCTGCAGGTAGGTGTGGTCACATGACAAGTTGTAGCCAAAGGAAAATAAACATAAATGTAGTTCACCATTTCTAGGATTGACACTGGAAAAATCCCTCTTAAAATCATTCGCTTTCTTCTCCTTCCTGCTGGCTACATACCTATTCAGAGCGTAACATTCAAAGGAAGGCACTGAAAACAGAAGAGCTTCTCTCAACCTGGATTCCCTGAACACCTGCACATGAAAATGCTGGCTGTGAATTAGAGATGTGTATGCTGGATTCTGTGTCCGTATCAAACAGCTAGTAAAAGCCACTGAAAGTTTGAGGTTATCTGTTGTAGCAGTTGCCATCTTTGCTGTCTAGACATCATCAGCCAAGCCTCTATTAATATCAGGCTCAAATTTCTAACTTCTTCACCCTTTTTCATCAAACTTCTAACATTTTGCATCGATTATTCCCTGAGTCTCACAGTCTGGCTGGTTTTCCTCCAGATGTGTTTCAAGGCCACCTTACTTATCATGATTACAATTGTCTTTATATGCTGTACTCCTTCCCAACTCTATACTAGAGAATTTGAAAGTAACACTGTGTTTTCATATCTGCATCCTGTGCCCAGCTGGCAGTCAGAAGTAGTTGTGTAAATAAACAAACAGATGAATGAGTAAAGGAATTGGGATTTGTCATACTACAAATGTGAAGGCCCAAAAGTGGTATGATGAAAGCTCATAAAACAATGAAAGACATGCAGAGAGGCTGAACGGAAACTTTTAAAATTAATCCCTAGAAAAGCAGAAATAAAAAGAAGGTGGTAAATATTGAAAAAAGGATTTTAAAGATATAAACAAAAGAAGGCTTGACTGAGAAGTTAGTAAATTTGAACTTCTTAAATTTAAGAAATGATGGGAAATATTTTGAAAATTACAAAACTTACTAAAGTTTTGCTCTTAATATGTCTCTTTGACAGATTCCTGAAGGACAGAATTTAAAGTATCTCTTTTATAATAATATGAAAATCACTGGTTAGTGTCTGTGTTTCTGAGGATCAAACCTAGGACCAGTACATGCAAGAAAAGTGCCCTATCACTGAGCTACATCTCTAGTCCCTTTAAAGTCATTACTTAAATGTGTTATAATGATGCTGCCTCATCTTCTACCAGCTAACGTCCAATAGCCATTTACCTAGGTGCTCCAATCTGATGTGTATTAGCATCTATCATGTTTATTTCTTTGTTTGGCTTTTTTTTTAAGACAAAAGTGTCTTGCTATGTTGCCCAGACTGATACATATTGAATGCCCAGACTCAAGTAATCCTCCCACTTCAGTCTCACAAATAACTGGAATTACACACCAGCACCACCTCCCCCGCTTGCCTTAGCATTAGAGCACCTATGCAGAGTCCAAAACCATAGGTTACTGACCATAGTGAAGTCAAAGAACAATCCAAAACCTTCCAGGGCATTCTTCCGAGATCCATTGCCCACCTACACTGCATTCTCATGCATGCCAAGGAAGAACTATTAGGAAGACCATGTGTGACTTATAGAAATATCAGCATTCTCACTTTACCTCTAGACCTTTTTCTTTCCCACACCTGGGAAAACTCACATAAAGGAATAAGTTAAACTAATCAAAAAGTTGGGCTGCTTCAGTGACTTCTATTTACTCTATCAAAACTTACTCTTAAACTCCGTATCATAAATGAGCACTGGGCCCTGTTCATCCTTGACCTTTCCATTGCTTTCACTGGCTTGAGACATTTAACTTTCATTTGAAAAGGTATGACGGATCTAAAGGGAGCTAAAACAGAAAACAGACATTTTCCTCCTACAGAAACAATACCTAACCTTTAACTCAGAACTCCACTCTGAAAGATTTAAAAGAGCACACTCACCTGTAGCTGGGATATAGTTAAAGGGTATCGAAATAATATCCAGGTAACGCCTTCACTGCAAGGTGGGATAGTAAGCGAGCCTTCATAGACCCAGTAATCTCGCAGCAGAGGGTCTATGCATCCACGTGGACATGTCATAAAAAGGCAAATTGATTAGCAATAATCTGGGATACTCCAACAATTTTCAAAATTACAAACTGTCCAAATGACGCTTCTCAGAAGGATATAGTTTTTAAGTTAGCACTTCATGTAAGTATTCTCAAACTAATCATGGAAAAAATTTATAAAAAATATGATGAATCTTCTATCTACTTACAGTGATTTCTATCAATAGGTTACTATGCACATCCACGAGGTTTAATTAATTTATGAAGAATATATTCATCTTTGTGCTTTTATTTTATTACAGGATTTGCCTCACTGATTAATGTCTAATATTTATTGAACTACTTGCCAGGTACTGTTTTGAGCATTATACATTAATTCATTTAATCTTCATAACAAATTAATGTAATAGATATTATTACTAGCCTCATTTTATAGATGGGGAAAATGAATCACATAGAGAGTTAGTAACCTGCCTAAGGCCACTCAGAGAATAACACACAGAGCCAAGATTTGAACCCACAGAATTTGGCTTCAAAATACACACATTTTTGAAGAGAGGGTCTTGGTATGTAGTTCAGGCTGGCCTTGAACTGACTGTGTAGCCCAGGACGGCCTTGAATCTGTGGCAATGCTCTTGCCTTAATTTCTTGAGTGCTAGGACTACAGGCATGTGCCATCATGCATGGCCAAAGGCTACATTTTAACCTTTTGGTTGTAGCTCCCTCTTTATTGCTTCTTCAGCAGCAAAATATTGAAATCATAATGTGACAAGAGAAAATAAATTATTCTTATGAAATTATTTAGCTCTGCGTTAGAGAAATTCATGATTAAATACAGTGGGTAAATGTTTTTGCAAATGACAGAAACTGACTGATTTAAAAGCAACTAAATACGGAAAGGATAATACATAATGTATCAGCCCATTTGTTTTTGTTTGAAGCACTATGAAACAGCACATAATTCAGACAGAGAAATGTGAAGACAAATTTTGTATAAAACTACCTGAATTCCAAGTTACACTGCAAGTATTTTATATACAATTACCTGTCATAAACACAATTAGAATAGTACCTAAAACAATAATAGTCTATAAATGCTTATAAAATTGTATATAAAGTTTATTTCACACTGGAGATTAATAAGTAATTCACTAATCAACCTTAGAGGTGTATTAAGGTTATTTTATCATGCTGGTACTTTACAAAGAGATAGCAATTTTTACAGATGACAATCCTAAAAAAGGTATTTGTGGATTAATGGAACTGATGACAGAGTGTTTCTTTACTGTTTACTCCAGTATTTAGAATAACCTGAAACTGATACTTGCTACAGAGAATATAAATTATACAGAAACTTTACTAATTGTATATTCTGAGGGAAACAGTACGGTTATACCCATAGTTAAAACTCAATCAGATAAATGCTTACCTGGTAATAAAGTGTTAGGGTTAAAGCAGGGTATTGTTTTGGACTTCCCCTTAAAAAAGAAAAAAAATTGACTCTATGTTAATGTAAAATTTATAAATTTGTAAACAATTTCTAGCACTAAATATCTAAATTGAAACCTTTTTTGGAACGGCCTTATCAAGTACCCTAGATTTACAGCCGTATCATTGTGTCTTCTCACCAGAGCAAGGTTGCTTGGCTTCAACAATTACTACTCTAAGTATGGCTATTTTCTTTACTACTGTAATTCCATTTCCCCTATAATTTTTGGAGTACAATTTATAATTGGTGTTTACCTCGCCTGTATCAACGACTTTCACACGTGCAGCGCAGTCACACCTAAGACTTGGGCTGAAAGGTTGGGGTAACACACTTGAACCCTCACTCAGGCCATCTTATGAAATGATTTCTTTTCACTTGACCTGCTTGGATCTCAGCTCTTACCTCTTTAGCTTTGTAACCTAGCTCCCAATTTGTCATTTTGTGCCATTGGCTGTAGTAATTCATCATTAGTATCTACTCTGGGTGCTCTTCTCATCCAGAACTGAAGATCCGAAACTCAGATATGAATGTTTTATAGAAGACAAAACCACTCACCTGCCCATGAACAATCAGGTTCAATATGGGCACAGAAGGTTCTGCTTATAAGAGCTTAGCTTCTCAGCGATGATAGCCGTATCACTGCAGGATCGCACTGATCTAAATCCCCTTCTCAAGGATATTATCTTATGAATTATGTACACTTGTCCTATTATTATTATTATTGCTATTATTATTAAGCATAAGTACTTAGGTTTAAAAATTGTATTGGTTTAGTTTAAACAATTTTGCTACCATAAGTAATCCAGAAAGATTAACTCTGCAGGCCTGGGTAGACCAAACCGACTATATTCCAAATGTGATCTGTTTTCAAGAACAGCCTTTGCCTGGTTCTCAGAAGATAACGCCTGAAAACCACTGGAATATTCTACCCCATAAGTGTGTTTTTTATCCCTGAGGCCTTGGGTCATGCTGTATTTCTGGTGAACTCCTAAGGTTGCATGCCTACCCGCGAGCTACGATGCACCAGTTTGACCAGGCAGATTTATCCTGACAATGAGATTTATGGATGCACAGTCTTAATGGGGTGTGGAGGAGGGAGCCGAAGCGTGAGGAGCTAAGGGTAGTTAGGCAGGTACAACACACGTGCATGGATGATCTCTGATAAAATTTCCACACATCAAAGCTTGGGTGAGCTTCCCTGGTTGGCAGCACTCCATAGGAACTGTGACACATCGCTGCTGGGAGAACTGGGCCATCCCCATGACACCACGCTGCTCCTGCGAGCTTCCTCCAGGTTTCCCCTAGAACAGTCCCACGTGACTTTCCCTTTTGCTGATTTTTGATCTTCACCCTTGAGCTGTGTTAAACTACAGCCATAGTATGGTAGCTTTTCTGAGTCCTGTGTGTTCTTGTAGAGAATTATCAAGCATGCAGGTGGTCTCAGGGGCCTCTTACAAAACTCTGTTTCTATTTTCCTTTAAATAGTGACTTACCTTATACTGAATATCCTGCAGGATCTCAGTCACAGCCTTCAGGCCAACATGTTCCTTCCCTATCTGAAATATATAAAGCATCAAGCACAAACATAGCATTTTTAAATGTTTAGCTTTTACTCAAAATAACCACTAGAACCAAAGCTCCAGACCACCTGAATGTATTTCTTGGGGAATTAAATGACCTTTCTGGTGATATCCAGGTCAACATCTATAGAGGTAAAATTGTAACAGTACAAAAAAGTATTAACTATGACACCCAAGGATCCTAAAGTAAGCTTGCCACTTACGGATATCACTCACTGTACATTCTATTATGTACCAAATCATAAAAGACTGCTACATCAAAATGTCAAGGATATTTTTAAACTAGAACTACTTGGTATATATCCAAAATCTTGCAATCTTACCTTTGGCCCTATAAAATGCTATTAAGTTGAATTTTTTTTATTAACTCAGAGAAGTTTGTATGTTGATTTCACATGTTAAAGTTATCTAAATCAAGATATTTCTTAATTATCACTGGCAATAATTCATTTTAATTAAGTTTATTGGTATATTTTAGGTATATATAATGATCACATTTGTCACAGGGAATTTGTATGTGTACATGATGTAACTTGATTTTCCCTCTCCCCCTTCCCTCCCTTCAATCCCTCTTCCGTTCCATATTTACAAAAGTTTTCTCTCCATTTTTCTCCTTCTTTTCTCAGTTTTTCCTTTTCCTTCCTTCCCTTTCCCCTCTCTGATTTCCAACCCCATCTGAGCATTTCCTTCCTATTTCACAATATCTACTATACATTTTGGTATCGCTGGTAATCCATAGCTACCTTTTTATTCTTAAATAAGTAAGAATATGGTACCATAGGGGAAAACAGCAAGACAATATGAAGGGAGTGTACTGATCTAAGAATAAATAGGCAATACCATGCCGAACGTTGTAGGTCACTCAACTGATAGATCAACTGATCTATCCCAAATAGAATGGAAAACCATTAAAGGATTACAGACCAAAATATATGCACATGTGATTTACATAGCCTTCTCTTTTAAAATATCACGTAGTTTTAGAGTACAGAATTCTCCAAAGAAATTTGAGACTTGAAAAATTTTTCATCTTTAGCATTCTTGAGTTTTAAATTTTAACCACCATTTGATTCCCACTTTTCAACTCTCAATGGCCTATGGCAATGGAGAAGAGTTAAGAGCATCTATTACTTAAGATAAATAATTACTGTTGCTCTTAGCTTTTTCTCTCCCACATACAGAAGGTTAGAGCAGATGTCAACATGCACACATTCTCCAATTTTCTTAATTTTATCTAAGTGAGAAATACACAAGGAAAAAGGAAAAGACAGGAAACATTAAAAGGCAGGGCAGTCACTTCAATGTAAGCAGGATTTTTGCTATTTTCTAAATGTTTTCATTCCTGAGATAGGCTCTGAAGCAAAAACTTAATCTTCTGAAGTTAAAAAAATACTGACTACAAATGTACCCACTTGATAATATTAGATTGCAGGCAGAAGCCTTCGCCTGAATTTCAGGATAAATGAAATCTCCTTGTTTTAGTGGCTTAACCAAAGGTAACATTTGCATGCCTAGAAGTCTAGTTGTAATCTGTTTCCATTTCACACACTTGCTGTCAGATTACATTCTCTAGAAAGAGTCCACATCTGAACACTGTAAGGCTACATCACATAGCAGTTTAGGAATGAACTCCCTACGTTAGATTGCCTGTATTCTAATCTTGGATTATCACCCTTACTCTGCCACTTTTTCCTGGGTGATCTTAGGCAAGTTTACTTAAACATTATGTTCTTCCTCATCTTCACAATAAGGAGAAAAAAGTGATAGAGTTGAAGATAGACCAAATATAATAGAACTCAAAACGGTGCACCTGTCACTTTCCTTTCCTTCTTTGCCACATTTTTAGTTGAAGAGGTTAGAAAACCCAAGCATAGATGACAGTCAACTGCTGAAATCCTTAATTTACCAGTTAAGGTAAAGACACAAGGTGATGCCAAGAATCCACCAGGATGATGAGGCCCATTACTTTCTTACCTCTTACCTCTGGAATTTAAGCCATGTAGTACCTGTATTTCTTGACTTCTAGCTTACTTCTAACCTTATTGTCCTCTGTGCTGCCCGGACACAGAAAGATCACTGTCTCTCCCACCACCTTCTTGTCTATGTTAAGCCCTGCAGGTCTGTCCCAGGCCACATCTCTCTCAGGCCCATCCAGTAGACATCAGGTGGTCTCCAGGGGAGAATGAAAGATGTAGTCATGTTCAGCTGTCACCTTAAATCTGATACTGCCCCACACGCACAGGGCTGTCCTCTGAGTGGACTCTCCCCATCTCATGCCATCACGCCTTTCTTATCACTTACCCACCAGTCACTTGCTCAAAGGTATCACCCCCTACTGTCATTCTGGCGGGTGTAAGCCTCTTTGGAGATGACCTGTCCCATTCCTGGCTTAAGTCTCCACGTCTCGCAATCCATGGAGTTTAGCTCCATTCCTCCTCAACAGGCCAGTCCTGTGACCACACCCTCCCTGCATTTGCTTTCATTCTGAAAACTTCAATTCTAAGACATCATTCTCTCTGACCACACTTTCTCATTATGCAACCCTCTCCTGCTCTGTTCCTTTTTTTTTTTAAACAATCATCAAGAACCAAAGCTCTCAGGCCCCTCTTGTCTTTGTTCCTTACTCCTGGCTAGACTGAAGGATATCACTCCTACCACTCTGGAATCTTCAGTCTGCTTGTCTTCCTAAATCATCGGCATTGTGAAGGGTCAACACAATGATTTGCTAGAAATGTTCTACTCCTCTCCAGAACAATCCATTGATCACTGTCCTGTATAATCTGTGACATCCAGATTATTTCTGACTGCTGTCTATCATCATCCCTTCCTGGCTACTTCAAAGCCCAACCCCACATCCATATTTTCCTTATTTTGTAAATGTATGTCTCAGAGGTGTAAAGGTCATCTGACGTGAACTCCCCTAACTTCCTGCTTTTCTCCACTTTGTGCTCACCTTTCCTGCTGGCCCTCTATCTCAGAGAAAGGGCAGAGCTCTCCTTTCCAAGTTAGTCCATCTACGTAAACTCTGTATCCGATGCCCTCTCATCTTCTGTGGGACTTTTCTATGTTTGCTACACCTTTTTTTCTCAAGATTTTTAAACTCTATATACTCTTATCCTAGCTCTTCTTGTACAGATTGAAAACACAAGATCTCAGATCTCAAAATCGCCTGGTTCCTCCCACTTCTGTCATTCCTCCCTTCCGTGAAATCCCTGGCAAGAGCAGTCCACACCCGGCCCCCAACTTCCTCTCTGCAGTTTCCCCAGATCTGGCCCAACGGCAGCCCCTGGGGTGGGTTTCAGCCCCGCTCCACTCTGCTTCGTCTAACACCTTAATTATTTTATAAAATTCTTTTCTCACAGTTTCTGTAATAAATTACTGTCTCCTGAGAAAAGCATTTTCACCTAAATACCCCAATTTTTCCTCATAGCAAACAAAGGTGACACAGCCTGTTCCTGGAAGCACTGATGTTAGGTCCAAGGCTGAGTTCTTAGTCTAGGGCTCTAAGTGTCCAGGTCACCTGTTACACACGAAGGCCCAGTAAGTGGAAACACTAAATTATATCTCATTTGATTCACAAATATTTATTTTCAGTCCCAAAAATGAAATTAACTTGTTCTGATCCCTTCTATATAATTTCTTTATTCTACTCTTGTTCTTTAATATTGAAATATTGCCTTCTACCACCTCAACTTCTCCAATCTAATCATGTTAACTTTTTCAGGTTATAAAATTTATCTTTAAAAGTTGTTTCTTCAATAGAATAAAGATGATCAAAATGTACAATTAAAACATTTGCATTAATATTTTTATTCCATTCTATTTATTTAACACAATAATAACAGAAGGAATGTAAGGCAACATCCATAAAAAAGACATGAAATGAACAGGGAGAAAATTCATTTTAAAATGCTCAAGATTTGCTTTTAAATTCCATAGCATGTGCCATACTTTCTAAACTTTGATGTTAAAATATTAAAGAGGCTAAAAACAGATAGTTACTTTCACATATCAATAAAGAAACACTTTATAGCTATAAAATTATGTAATTAAAACATACAGAAAATTTTGTGTGATTACAACATTCTCAATATAAATGCTATAAAGCACATATCTAAAAGGTCCCAGTGCCCGACTCTTCTTGAAAAATTAACTGAAGACCACTTGGCTAACGTTACTGCTCTAATCCAAGGTCATTCAAAAGTAGCCAGCCACCATACAGAGATGGAGTTCTGGTTTTCAGTCTTTAGTGCTAATATTAAATTGCTGTATCTACAACCACTTGACCTCTCTTGTCCTTGTCTTCTCTCATATAAGACCATGGGACAGAGATGGGGGGATAAAATTTCCAGTGTATTTTTCATCTCTAAATCTTTTACCACATCAAGTAGATGAAAAGACAAAGATTCACCTTAAGAATGGGAGGAAATTTTTACCATTGTAAGCACATGGTCTACTTTTGTAAATTCAACTAAATTTACATAATATCCTTTGCCCACCACCAACCTTGAATCTAAATTTCACATTGGTTAGATCTACCATGGTCTTTGACACTTTTTTTTAAATCAGTGTTTTCTATAAGACATTTCAAATCTTCTTTGAATAAAAATTATTAACAACAAAGAGCTAAAGTCATCCCCTACATGATTATATTATTGATTTTTTTCTTATATTTTGTAGTAAGCCAGAGTCTAAAAACATTTTGTGAAATTCTTTTTCATAAATACAATGAACTCTGCTTTCAGGAGGCATTTACCAAACCACTTCTTCAAAGACCTTGAATGCTACTCTGAAGCAAATTTCTAATAAGTAAATGAACAATTTTCTACTAACAAATAAGGCTGCACCTTTAGGAACTACAAAGATCAAGTTGTCTATTTTTAAATTACCAGGGAACTCGGCATATGTGTATAATTTTACCTCTAAGTAATAAAATAGAACTAAAAAGTATTGTACAAAATGACTTAAAAATAAGCATCTCTAAACAATTCCAAATCATAGCAGAGCATTTACCTGCACGAACAAGGCAATGATGGCGATGCCGTGTGGCTTTCCTACAGCCTCATCGATGCTGCCGAACAGCGTGGAGTTCCAGTGGATCAGGTGGAGCTGGTGGGAACAGCACACAGATCACATGACTTACTGCGCCACTCTTCCAAGAAACAAAGACATATTCACCACCTTCCCTCGGTCTACATGGCTCATATGCAACAAAAGGATTAGATGTACCCAGGGACTACTACCTTAAGAGGCATTTTCTGTAGGAGTTCTTTGCTTATTTCTAAAGAAAGCAATGGGTCCCTGCCTCCTGAGTTCAAGTATGGTGCCTCACAGATTCTGTATCCATTTAGCTATCTTTCATTAAATGTCATCCCCTCCAGATCTCAGTGGGACAATTCACAACCAGGTCTGAACAAAAACACTAGAACTCACTACCAAAGGACTAGTGCCTGCATAAACAAATTCTGCAGCATATGTTATGTCTATCAGGAAATGTACAAAGCCAGTCTCAAAGCCTGGAAACTATTTTACCTCTCTAAGAATATCCACAGATATCATAGTCTTAAAAATGCTCCATTTTTAAAGCCATAGGACAATAATGAATGCTGATGTAAATCTCTAAAATAAGGCCATTTCCTGCGCTAGAGATAAAAGTTTGTCTGTAAAGAAATGACAAACAATGCTCAGAGGAGTCCCTAACTCCTAGTCTCATAAAGCTTTGCAGCTTTCAAGTTTATCTAGAATATGCACTTGCTTCCATAGCACTGATAAATACAAAAAGCTGAATTCAGTTCCTTCATTAAGAATCAAATGGCAGCTGAGGTTCTTAGTATGACAGTACCTAGTGAAAATGTTCTGCCCACAATGCTATCTTCCTGATTACAGCTTTTAATCAAGTTAAAATTCCTACCATCTTACACTGTCCCACTTTTTAAAATTACTTTATAACCGAACAAAACAGACAAAATTCAATCACTGGGTATTAATCATCCCGACTGCTAAAAACTTGATTTTTTTTTTCCCCCACTGAGTCTATCCAAGTAGAACTTGAGATTATAAAATTGACCACTAGAGGGAGGCAATAAAGTCAAGAATACAAGCTAACCTCAGACAAGAAGGTATCCAAGGGCAGGCTGTAAAATATTCTCGTGTACTGTATCCAACCAGTAAATTTTAACTGTTAAGGCACGGCATTTAAGAAAACAATGTTCTTGCAAAATTGGTCAAAAAAATTTAGGCACTAACTGTTGCTTTCAATAAACCAACAGACATCAGCTGTACAATTATCCCAACTATCCTTGTATCTAATAATCTGAACAACTAATTTGAAGACAATAATATGCAATGTAACAACCATTGTTAATTCCTACCATCTTGTTTAGTGAAGTGCAGCATCATTTCTAATTTTTTATTATTTTTTATTCTCTTTAATGGTTTGATTAATCTTGCATTCTTACATCTGGTAATCTGAGCAACTTTGTTGAAGATAACAATATGTAATATGACAACCACTATTAATTCCTATCATCTTGTTTTGAAATTCTGTATCGTTTTTATTGTTTTTGTGTTGTTTTGTTTTTCTCTTAATTGATACTAATAGACAGTCTCATTGTAATCATTCCTTCTCTGGCCAAAGCAGTATCACAGAAGTCCCAGTGGTACAGATAAAAACACAGCTTTTCTAAATCAACAAAAAAGGCCAAAGCCCAGGGCTGACTATTTTTATTCAAAAAATTACAAAAGTCAAACCTACATTTTTCTTCTCACAGAAATATTATAAGGCACTTTTTTAAAATTAAAAATTAACAAGCAAAGCACAGTTTTCCCCACTCCTTGCAATTCTGCATCACTTGCACCTCTTCTTCAAAAACTGCTTCACATAGTTTTTGTTTTAAAAAACATGAAGGCCTTGACTCCTTAAGTGTGCACTCTGCATGGTGACATATGCATGATTCAAAGACTACAGTGTAGGAAAGAAGTCAATGTTGTATTAGAGAAACTTAAACACATCATCCGACCAAGGTCCACACCGACAGTAATTAGGTTGATAGGAGATTATCTTTGACATGAGACTAAAAGGGCTGTGTACCTCTGTCTTCTTCCTAATAACCCATAAATACAACCTAACCTTGGGAAAAAGCGTAACAAAACTCATGAGGAGCACTCTACAGAATACCCGGCCCACAACCCTTCAAAACCAATGAGGTCATCAGGAGCAGGGAAAGCCCCCTAAAAAGTCAGACTAGAAGCACCTGGCGGGGGGGGGGCGCCACTAACTGCAATGTGATGTCATGGATGAGTTCCTGAACATAAGAAGGGTATTAGATAAAAATTAAGGTTATATGACTAGAACATACATTTAATAATGTGTTGATATTAGCCCATTCATTATAACAAATATACATTGTTAATCCAAGATGTTAATAGGAAAACTTGGGCACGGAATTTTTGAGAATTTTCTATGCTGTCTTTATAACTTTCTGTAAAGCTAAAATTGCTCTAAAGATAGTTAATTTTTAAAAAGAAGAGAAAGGAAAAAAAATTTTAAATGCTGGCACTTCAGCTAACCCAAGCTAAAAAGGATGACAGAAGCCTCATTGGTCTCTGCAGCCCCATGTCTAGCACAATAATTCAAAACCAAAGCAGCAAGAGAACCTCTACCTCATGCTGTTCCCGCCACCTGAGACCCTCTCAGGCCCAGGGGCCCAGGAAGGGGAGATTCCCTCCCATTGTCAACAAGTGACCCATATGTTTAAGATGAAGCTCTACCCTGGTACTGCAAAGCTCTCTTCTCTTGAAGATGCTCAAATGAAACCTCTAGAAAATGGTTGATATGAGTACGAGGCACATTGCCAACACATTCTGGAAACTGGCCAACCTGTCAGTGTCACCTCATAGAAACCCAGATGCCTGATCGACAGGCACAAAACAGTCAACACTTCTATTGCGTCTCAGCTTTAGCTCACTCTGCTCCCCAGGCCTTTAACTCTTCCATCTGGATTAATTTTCAAGGACCACTATTATGATGTGTCACAGACTGCATGAGTTAGACAACAAGAATTTATTTTCTCAAAGTTCTGGAGGCTGGAAGTCTTAGATGAAGCAGTCAGCAGGATTAGTGTCATCAGAGCCCTCTTCGCTTGGCTTGCACATGGCTGTTCTTGTATCTTCACATGGTCTCCTTTCTGTGAGTGTCTATGCTCTAACCTCCTTTCTTACGAGCACTCCAGTGACATTGGATCAGGCCTGCCCATATGAACTCTGCCCCATTAATTACCTCTAAAAAGATGCTATCTCCAAATATACTTGTATTCTGATACAATGCAGGTTAGGACTTTAACACATGGATTTGTAAAGGACACAATCTAGTTCACGTGCAGTTTTATTTATTTTTGGGGAGTTGCTGGAAACTGAACTCAGAGCCCTGCATATATGAGGCAAGGGCTCCACCTCTAAGCAGCACGTCTAGGCCCCCATTCAGATCGTAACACTATGTATCTGCAGGGAGCCAGCTTAAGCAGGTTGCAGCCATTCTGAGTTGTAGCTGCCATGACTTCCCCTGAATAACCCTGGCCTGTTCAATCACAAAGCTTCCCAGAATGCTACCAATACACAAAACCATTCAGTGGTGTGTGGAGCTTTATGTCTAGATCTTGGCACTGTCAGCATCAGGAATGTGTCAAGCATCTTTGATATTAGCTTAAGGTAAAGCTGGTACATTGCAGCTAAATGGTGTCACTTTTGACCTGACCACTACAGAAACCCTTCTCTCTGACCAAAGTCATAGGACCCACCAGTATTTCTGCCATCCTTTATCATGATTCTATCTGTAAATCTCCAATAAAGATTATACTCTGCATAATCCTGGTTCTGTCTGCCTCTTTCTTCGGTCTCAAATCTCTTCCACCTACAGCAGTCAAGTTCTTTTACCAGATTTTCCCAGAGTGTCACCTCTTCTGACCTCCCAGTCACAATAAAGTTTGTTTGGATCTCAAAGTAGTTTAATCATTCAAATCTGCTCCTCTTCTCCCATAGCCCTTTCTTTAGACCTATAATTTTATCGCACTTTGCTTTACATTAGTGTTGCTTCTATCTCATAAAGCAAAGCCACACAGGTGGGAAAATTCTCAGCACATATAAAAAACTAAGCTTGTGAGTAGCTAGAAAATATTTAAGTCTGGCAATGCCAAGACATGAGGCTCCAAAAGTGGAGGGGTCAAAGTGCACAGAGCTTTAAAGTCTGTCATAACTCTGGGAAACACCAAAGCAACACACTACTGCAATGAGTTTGATTTCCTGCGCTGCCTAAAACCAAATAAACTACCCCATAACAGGTTTTTCTTCAGGGGTCCTTTCGACAATACTGGGGATGGACTGGAGGCTGCCGTAAGGTAGGTAGTTGACATAGAAGTTCCAGCTGACAAACTGTGATAGGGACATGTGATGATTAGTTTTATGTATCAACACGTATAGAATAAAGAACTCAGTTCTTTGATCCAACACCAACCTACAGGTTGCTCTGCAGGTATTTTTAGATGTGGTTAGCATTGAAATCAACAGACTTGCAGTAAAACAAATTACCTCCAAAATGTAAGTGAACCTTGCCCAATCAGTTGAAAAGCTGAAGAGCAAACACTGACAGCCCTCAAAGGAGAAGGAACTGTCTTCATAGTGTAAGATAAAAATTCACCTGTGCTTACAATCTTCTAAGTCAAATTACAACATCAACTTCTATATCAATTTCTCACAGCCTGCTGTGTAGATTTTGGACTTGCCAGGGCTCACAATCACATGAACCAGTTCCTCTATGTAAATCCCAATCTTTCCAGTCTCTTTCTCTCTCTCTTCATGTCCCTTTCCATCTGCCTCTCCCTCTCCCTTTGGCTGCTTTTCTGGGAGAAGCTTGACATAAGAGAGGTTGTATAAACAAAACAGTACGGAGACCAATGGAGGTTTAAGTCTGAAGAAGACTAGTAATGATGGGAATAAAAAGAAAGAACTCTAACAAAGTGACAATATCTGATACATAGTAAGACTATTTCAATTTTTCTATGCTTCATAAAGTACACAATAATTCAGTAGTTCCCCTTTATCAATGATTTAGCTTT